GGGTTTGGGTGATCCTGGCACAGTCAGGCTGGTTAGGCTCATCATCAGTTCAGGGTCCTTTCCCCCTCTCGTGCAGCCCAGACAGCAAATGGGACTTATCCAACGAAACAACCGAGAACTTTTCGGAAAACGTGAAGACACCCCAACACTACAGCCTTCTGCATTACCCAGATTGTCAGAAGGGCTGTATTCCTGGCAGCAAACACTCTCCCAATGTCACCGAGAACAATGGAGAATCGGACAACTTGGTACTTGGGATGCAAGCGTGACATTTCGAAAGCGAGGTCCGCATATTTGCCATGTTTTCCCCGAATCTTCTCGATCACATTGGTGTCGCAAGGGACAGAAAATTTAAAAATATAAATGATTTCATTGGATTTATTAAAAAGGACGAGATCAGTTTTGTTGCCCTGGATTGTTTTATTTTTTTTCATTTTCCATGACACCCTCCAAATTTTCAGGGTTGTACTATGGATGGACAAAATCACAAAAATGGCGTAGACGCTAATAAATTGATCGAGACACGCCATCATGTCGCTTAAGATGGTATGTTTGTACCAAAGCTGGGCTTACACTGATAATGTGCTGGACAGACTCATTAAATTAATTGCATAATCAACATTTGATATTTACAGTTTGATGCAAAATCACACATTGACGGTTTCGAGTGGGAAGCCTCTGGTCCTGAGCACCAAACAGAAAGCCTTCGGTTTCACTTTTCAGGCCAGCCGACTTCTTCCAAGCGAAGGACTCTACAGGATTGCTGATCTTCTCAGCACACTGTACATAGACGCAATGCAGTGGTCGTTCAGGTGTCCTCTTTGGGCTGATTTGATATGGTTAACACTTATTTCTGTACCGCCCAGCAGTACAGAACCATCAACAAAATCATCATTAACATTGAGGTTATGTCCCACATCGTTTAGGAAAACGCCTTGTTTACGAATACGAAAGGACGGGTACAGCATTAATATTTGTGGCTTTGACTTTATTGCAATCGTTTAGCTCTGAACTGCAGAGTTTCTTAAGCCTGCATTTGTATTCCGCCCGCAGTTTGTCTTTGATATGGGCATTCTGGAGTTTGTCCCTAACCTGCAACCCTTAACACGTACAGGCCGGGCTTTCCACGAGATGGTCGTTGTTGTTGTTGTTGTTGTTGTTGTTGTTGTTGTTGTTCTGATGCATAGGAGTGTCACCGTTAATACCCATAGAAGCTTAAAGGCCTCGTGTGTATGAGTAGGTATTGATCGTCGCCGCGACCAATCAAAGTATTAACTTCCTGTGACCTGACTGGCACTTGTGGCTCTTAATACTGTACAAAAAATGCTGCCAACTATTTTTCCCTCAAGTAAAACTTTTAACAATACCGCTAACAAAGTCATTTCGTCGTGAATTCAACTGCAAAGGTTATCGTTCTGTTTATCTCCAGTCCATGAATATATTTCCCAAGGACTTAATTAACCATAAATGTCATCAATGAAAGATGACTAAAGCATTGCTTTCTCTGTGCAAATATATATGGCACAACGATATAGTAACTCTTTGTTTGCACTGAATTCGAAGAGAACCATCGCAGCTTTGGTCTGTGACTAATGGCCAAGCCAGACAAGGGAGCACATGTTAGTATTCAGTCCTTTCGCGCCAATTATACACTGTCTACCAATTCGCTCATAGAGTATCTCATACATGAAAGCCATTATCTAGTATATATCGTTGAAGGCTCGTATCTGTTCTTATCCGAAACTATGTACACACGGAAGATGAAAATACTAAATAGTATCTTGTGCGTGTTATTAATATGAACCGTCATCATCAGTCCCGATTATCCGCCGACCCGTGAAGATCCGGGGTAGAATAGGTCTTCAGCAACCCATGCTTGCCATAAAAGGCGACTATGCTTGTCGTAAGAGGCGACGAACGGGATCGGATGGTCAGGTTCGCTGACATGGTTGATGCTTGTCATATTATTGCTGCGTGCGGCGTAAACCAACGGACCAACCAACCAACCGATTATCCACCGAAACAGATTCCATTATGCGTAAAAGGTAAAATAGCAGCAACAAGTATATGAATGGATCACTAAATATTAGACCGCCTCCGTGGTCTAGTGGTAGAGCGTCCGCCCGGAGAGCGGAAGGTCCGGGGTTCGATCCCCGGCCGCGTCATACCAAAAGACGTTAAAAGGTGGTACTTGTTGTTACCCTGGCGCTCGGCATTAAGGGGTTAAAGCAAGGACTGGTCGGCTCGGAGTCAGTATACTGTGTCTGAGTGAGGTATTCATGTTAAACTGCGGCATGGTATCTCAGTTGGCTAGCACTATAAATCGGCATCAGTCCGGTCTAGTACAAGCAGCCATACACACACACGTGCATGCACGTCGCTATATAAGTGCAATAATCATGGACGCGACGTTAAACCCAATTTCACCTCACCTCACTAAATATTATTGACACCAGGTGTTCACGAGAACTGTTCTCCGCCTATCTGCAACAACTAGTGTGCCTGGTCAGCTGACAGACCGCCATGCTGCTGTATTGTAGTTGACTGTGGCGTTGATATCATGCGACAATTCCAACTGAATCCAAAGCATGTGTTTATGAATCACTATTAAAATAGTGACGACACTAGGCGTTCACGAAAAGGTGAGCGTTTCTTGCCCCACCGGTGGCACCCGTCACAACATATGAATAGCAAATGAAGTGTTCGCCTGAACAAACACGGGAACACATGGTACAAGCTAAAATAGGTGTCCTCTACGTGTCTTCCATGAAAGCTTTAGCAAGCTTTTCTAAAGCCTTGAATGTTGTTACCCTTTTCAAACAACTTTCGAGCAAGTCGCATGACGCTCTTTGGCACACCCATGGGAAGAGCATGCTCGATGGTATCTCAAATGTTGTGGCATTTAGATTTTACATGTGCTCTTTCTTATAACAGAATCATAAGATTAGTGCGAGTACTGTTCTGTGTCTTGTCTGTGTGGAGCCAAATCCATTCAGGCAGAAGTTCAATCTGACCGTTGACTACAGCAGGACCTGAGACTGGAGATGTAAGTTTACTCCTGACGTTCAACTGAGAATCATGTAGGATTTTTTTAGTAATGTTCTGTTAGTGTGGTAATTTCACCTTTTTCTATGCAAGCAAGATGATTTCTGAGAACAGCAGGAATGCCATGGCCAGGATTTGAAAAACACATTCAAAAGGTTTTATGGTAGACATGTGGAGGACATTTCTAAATTTGACGCATTAGTGACAAAACTTATGTCCGATGCAATTCCCTATTTTGACTTTACCAGGTGAACAATTGACTTTCCTTTACATGTGTTTGTGACGGGTGCCACAGGTAGGGCAGGATACGCTCACGTTTTAACAGAACGTTCTGTTGGCTATGGAAAGGGTCTTGACTTTTTTTATGACTTACAACACCGCCAGGAATCGACACTGGATCTACTTTCGTGCCAGCTCAAATTGTTTGCGTTTGGAATGCTCTTCAAATCAAAGTACATCTCTAATCTGTTTATTTAATCTCTGTTAATCACAGATTACCATGTCTTCAAAAAGGCAGTCATGTTTTATAATACTATCAAAGGGCGGTGGGATTGTGAGTTTCATGTGTTACAAGCGGTATGTACGTCTGTTACAAACTGAAGGGGCCTGTACAGCACGAGAACGAAGGTGACTTGAAACGAAGTTAACTTTACATATTTACAAGTACTTATTGCCAAGAGACTGTCTCCACCTTGCTCTTCAGGTCTGCCTGTCGACCACTAGTCGGTTCGGTATGGTAACTCAAATTGTGAACGTAGTAATTATGACGTGAGAGGCAGATGACGTCTTATGAAACACTATGACGTCATGATGTCCGAACATACCGGCCTACCGATTTATATAGGGGTTCAGAAGACGGCGACTGACCAATCGGGGAGCTGGATTTAATTACTCTTGATACTCGTTTTACAGTACTATCACGGATCGGCTGGCCAGGCCTGGTGACTTAGTTCATGGCGTACTATCACACGTCAGTGATGTTGATCGTTCATCATAATATTTATTACTCGACTGTCTGGTCCAGATTCGATTATTTAATGGTCGAGAACATATGGCTGGAATTTTGCTGCGTACGCGTTAAACAAAAGACACACACGTTAATCCGGACAATGGTTATGTGTTCAAGATTTTATTAATTACATTCAGGCGTTGTTACATATCCCGAGGTCTTGAATAACGTGATTTGACAGTGAATATTCAGTGTAATGCTGAACCTCAAAAATCGCAAGTGACTAAGAGCTGAATCTCGTTAATATGAAAACGTTAATATATGGTTCTTGTTGTTACCTTGCCTGGCGATCCGCATTGATAAAACAGGGACTGTTCGGATCGGAGTTAGTATACTGTGTAAAGTTTGTTATCCATGTTAAACTGCTGTATGGTATCTCAGTGGGTTGGGAATATTAAACCGCCATTTGTTCGGATTAGTACAAGCAGCCACACACACACACACACTCACGCTAGCACACACACAAAATCACACACACATACTCACACACACACAATCACTCACTCACACACACTCACAAACTCACACACACACACACACACACACACAATCACTCACACACTCACTCTCTCACACACACAAACTCACACACACATACTCACTCACACACACACTCTCTCACACACACTCACACACACATACTCACTCACACACACTCACTAACTCACACACACACACTCACACTCACTCAATCACTCACACACACACACTCACTCACACACAAACACTCACACACCCACTCACACACACACACACACTCACACACACACACACTCACTCACTCACTCACTCACACACTCACTCACTCACTCACTCACTCACTCACTCACTCAATCACACACACACACACACACACACATATGATGGCACCCGTGGTATGATGTATAATGCAGGTAACGGTACAGGCTGAACAGACCAGAGTGTAATGGAGACAACTGTACTTTACCCTGTAAGTACTGGACACACTTGCAGAGAACATCACCATATATCCACAGCTGGTAAATCCTCTGGGCTGCTGTCATCGGTATGCACACGATGGTAACTGAAAAAGAAACGAAACGAAAAATGAAAAATATACATTTTGTAAAATGTATTAATTACAACAATATGTCAGCGCAACACACCACCTTTGGATGTGCTCAAATCATCTTTCCTGTTCATCGGAGCACGGAGTAATTAACATGGATCTTCACTCTGTATGACCCAGCGGATCTCTCAAATATACAATGGTTATATTCCCAGGTAATTGTGGGTATTGTAAAAGTGTGTGCTGCAATATGTCAAATGGAATTGGATTGCGGAAGTTTTCTTGACTTTTCACAGAGTTAGAAAAAATATCTTGATATTGATTTCCTTCTCAATTCCAAAGCTGGACACAACGTGCATTTATCCTTGCGAAATGACTAATGGGGATGCCGGTATTGTGATTGATTCGAAGAGAGTTTGACGTTGCTAATTATATATGCCACTGGTTGATGTGACCGGAGTCCATTGTTTACAGGCCGACGTGAAATTGCTAGAATATTGTTGAATTAAGAAGAAGAAGAAGAAGAAGAAGAAGAAGAAGAAGAAGCACATTTATTATGCCTAGTTAATGTGCATGACGGTACATTATTATAACCCCGGTCAATTGATCAGTGTGCACTCGCGTTCGTTCACAGGTCCATGGGGACTCTTTGTGACTGTCACAAACAAAAAGCGTCCAAACAGCATGGACGCAATTCTAGTTCATCCACCACCTTAATACATAAATAACTTATTGACGACACCAGGTCCCTTGTCCTGATGATCTTCCTATATTATCGAGTAGATGGGTAGCATAGAGGGCAAATTGTTTTCGCCGGATTCTCCAAATGGATACAGTCTATTTCTTGTGTCCCCTGCCATATTGCTTGAATATTGCTAAAAGCGCGCAAAATCATATTTACTCAATAGTATCTGTTTGATAGTACAGAGTTGTGTTGTTAAAAATAGTATTGCGATTTGCATAAATTACAATCGGAACATTTCTAGCGCTAAAGGGGGAATCATGCCTCAAAACAAAAATAGTGAAGAAAATATCCAAGACTATTGACTTTGCGTCTTTATTTAAAAACGATCGAGGTTCTTAATTCGAATAATGTTCAAGTGAAAATGTGTCTAATCTTAAAGGAGAACATAGTTGCACAGGTCTCAGAAGAAGGCGGTGAGTAAACATCATAATGGAACTGTTGATGAGGCAGTTGATAGTGAAGGCGTACGGGTAAATTCAATCCTTTCTGGACTATGTCACAAAGTATGTTCGTCTAACGTTCCTGAAAATAAATGTGACGGACAGATGGATCATTGCGGTATTCACACGTTGACTGATCAGGCGTCTAGACCTGGGACAGAAGTCCCACAAACATAATGGTTGACGACAAATTCAATTGGACAAATCATGTAGAGCCACAAATTTCACCAAAATATTAGATCACGTCGGCCGACAAAGCCTCAGCTGTCACTAGAGGGGCAATCTTGTGTAGTCTCTTTTGTCGCGGATCGATCTCCGCACAGTCGGTCATCCTTTCATGGATTTACCTACAGAAGTTGACTGAAATCATTTGCAAACTCAATTAACGTCATTTCAATCTTAACCTTTCTTATTACTCTTACCAAATTGCTGTGAAACCATATTATCTAATTGTGTGCTGTCTCAACCATTAATTACATCAATCATATTTCAGTTTCAGTTTCTCACAGATATTACATGAAATCATTTGCAAACTCAATTAACGTCATTTCAATCTTAACCTTTCTTATTACTCTTACCAAATTGCTGTGAAACCATATTATCTAATTGTGTGCTGTCTCAACCATTAATTACATCAATCATATTTCAGTTTCAGTTTCTCACAGATATTACATGAAATCATTTGCAAACTCAATTAACGTCATTTCAATCTTAACCTTTCTTATTACTCTTAACAAATTGCTGTGAAACCATATTATCTAATTGTGTGCTGTCTCAACTATTAATTACATCAATCATATTTCAGTTTCAGTATCTCACAGATATTGCATGATTCAGTATAGTTCCTCTGTGGTTGATTAATGCTGCTGGCAAATCACTCAATACAGAACACACAAGACATTATATTTGATAGGTTGCCATAACACAAGGACACTGACCGAGTGTTTCAGTTATCAATACAATTAAGAATATTGAAGTATTAGAGAATATATTGTGCTTGTAATGAATCTACAGCTCTGTACATACAATATGTGAAAGAAACCTGATTAGTTCTTCTGTCTCTGATGTAGGACTGTGTCATGGGCTCTAGGGCTCAAAGTTCCAATTTGCGTTCCCTCATCATGTTGCCTGATATTAATGATATACTAGTACTCACAAGTCAACGTTGGATGTCTGATGAACTCACCATTATCAGAGATGACTTACATATTACTAGTTGTGGGGCAAGAGTGGCCCAGTCGTCTAAGGCGTCGCAGGTCTATGCGAAGAATTGCCTGTGTCCGAAGGTTCGAACCCCGGTTCACCCTGATTATGTTTGTTGATTATGTCTGTCACCATATCCGTGCCCGTAGGCTTTGACCAAACTGGTAAACCTGCATCACATGAAGCTGGCACGCCAAAGTGGCATTAAACCCAACGCACTCACTTTCGTTGACAAATGCGCACCCAGTGAAATGTTCCACTCAGTGTTCCATGCATGTTTCACAGTTGACCAGTAAATAAATAGCTGGGCAAACGAAAGTATAGACTTGGACTTGACCAAAACATTGCAAACGTTGTCAACACGTTACTAGGGTGACAACAGTCGCCTGCACACTGAAAACCTAAGGTCCAAATCACAACTATGATGCCCGTATCAAATACATCACTATCGAATGACCATTTCTTGCTTGTTTCATTCTTAGCCACCATCAAACATAGGTGTATACTTTCCTTTGCCGGCAGTCCTATACACTTTAACATATACAAAGCTTTAATACTTTACCAACAGAGACACTTATCTGATTATCTCTTTGGGATAATCATTGACATTTTGATTTTGCTTCGACATTGAGTACACCAGTCGAATACTAAACACCTTGTTTGAACATAACTTAAATACATCTCAAAAATTTCATCAGGATAATATTTCTCTTGATGCCCATGTCTATAGGAAGAACATTTCAGTGCCGTCAAATACCATCCATATCTTAGTTAAGAACTGTAATCTAATCTAAAAACACAAACAATTTATAAACAATTTATAAACAACTAAAAGGAAAAGTGACGCTTAAGTTTTCAATAATATTCTTCTTGTGCGGGTATATATTCTGCAAAAGATTTTTAATCAATATCATTAGTGGTATCAGGTCATATCACAGACGCTTGCATCGCATGGTATTCTCAACTTAACAGACGGATAAAGTTGCAGGACTACTCATGTAGTAGTAAGCGAATACTGTGACGTCTGGACGGCATCATTTAAATTGAACTAACTTGAACTTATATACTTTTAGCTATTAATCGAGAATATAGACAGGTCCCCTTTCATTCCTACTGAGATCATATAAGTCTTCACTTACCATCAATTTAGCAATCAGTACAGAAAGTGGAGAATCTAGAGGAGAGCCTGAATATTGTAAATCTAAACCTGTGTAAATCTAAACATATTATTTCCAAATGTGGCAAAGCAAATATCATAAGGTAGCCAATAGAAAGAACTCATCTGGAAGGGCAGGAATGTACGCTGAACTCTATATATTAATATTGTATTTATTTGAATCATTGTGCGCTGTATGACAAATAATAATACAAATATCGAAGGGAAACTGATCCCGTTTCATCCTTTCATAAACCATCCATTGCGAATTCAGTGCGAAAGTGGAATTGCTATGTATTAATATTCTTAATAAAATTTAAGAAGCGACAAAAATTATTTCCATATTGATAAGGAAAGGCTGCTAAAAGCACAGTCCATTGTACGATTCCAATTATATCATAAGCTTTTGGTTATGAAACGCTATCGACTAGTGTTGATAGCAGATGTTCGCGAAAAGGTGGCCGTATTCTGTTATAAACACATGCAAAGGCAAAACAATTCTTTTTTTATCTGAACATTCACGGGAACAAATGGTTCAAGTCAAAATGAGGAACCCGTTTGGTCACTGATACTGCAAATTTTCTCCACCTGTCTACAATAAAACATGAAAGTTTTACTAAAGCCTTGTATGTTGTTACCTTGAACACAAAGCACAATGAACCATGCATAAATCTGCGTATTACTGTTACTGTCAACTCAGTCAAGGCTAATTTCCTAACGTACCCAGGTAAAGAAATACTCCTCCAGAACGTACATGCATATAAACATATCTAAACTGCCGGGCACAAAAAGTATACACCCATGTTTGATGGTGGGTAAAAATGAAACGAACAAGAAATGGTTCCTCGATGGCACTGTAATGATAGATCATATGTAGTTCACAGATACCAGACATATAGCCTGGTAATGCCGTGATAATGTTTGTAATTGTTTGGTCAAAAGCAATTTTCAAATGAATACTTTCTTTTGCCCGGCACTTTATATCTCTATATATTGTGATTATTTGAACATGTGTTACAATATGTATATGTTCACAATACAGAACCAACCGTGGCAATACCAGAAATGGTGAATATCTGGATATCGGGATGTCAAAACAGATTTAAAAGATTACACTTATTCGATGGGAAACACGTAATTGATACGAGTTAATTTCATTGATTTGAGCAGCAATACTATGCTTCAACAAAGAAGAGAATATGCAATGTGTATGGCAGGACATGCTTTCTGTTTTCTCGAACACCAGGTGTCATCACTGATTTTCAGTGGCCCATTCATATTATGTCACAGTTATTTCGCCCTTTTCTTTAGATGGAATCTGTTTCGGCGGATAATCTAGACTGGTTGTTCCCTTGCATTGACTATTTATATTTGTTTGTATAAGCATGGCTCTCATGACCAGTTTCGTCCACATGCCCTTCGCAAGCTCTGTCTTTCTATAATATTTTGCAAGAGAGTTCATGGCTTACTA